AAAACAATAAAAAATTAACAAAACTTTCAACAGCAACAACGAGAAAAAACATAACAATGAATTTAAGCAAAAATAAGACAAAGAAGTTGCTTCAATTTTTTTTCATTTCATTCAAGAATTTTGCCAATGTTTTTTAGATCTAAATAAATTCATTCATTTCGTTAGAATTTTGTTGTTGTTCTTGTTTCTTTCATATATGAAATTGAATTTTATTTTTATTTCATTTTTATGATTATTGTTATTTGCATTTCATCATTATGATTATAACAACAACAATAACCATGTTTTCCATACGATTGTCTTGTCGATTTTTTATTTCTTCGTTTTTCTTATTCTTCTCATTATTATTTTCATGTTTCACGTTTTTTCAATTTTCTCAAACACAATTTTCAACAACAAACATATATATTGGATGATGATGATGATGAACCTTGAAGAAGTCATTGTTGAAAACAGGCCCCCGTAAGAAAGAAAAAAAAACTTTATTCGATTCTCGAGACCAGAAGAAGAAAAATAAATAGTGAAGATGATGATGATGATGATATTCCCTTGAGCGTGACGTTAAGAACATTCTTATATTTTCTTTTTCCCATTTTGGAATTGTGAACAATCCAACCGACCAAACCAATTCAATTCTACAACAAGTGTATGTAACTATAGTCGGCTACAATTACTAAACAAAATTCATAATGCAGAAAAAAATATATATTAGAAATTGTTTGAATTGAATGAATTCATGCAAAAGAAAAAATGAATGCCAAAAAAAAAACAGAATCCAAATGTAGAAAAAAAGCAAATTCAGTAGATTCAAATCAATAAATGTGATTTATTATTAAATATTTTTTTTTTCATAAACTTCTCTAAGCAATTTATTAGTTAAATACACAAACACACATATGCTTTAAAACAACGAATCAATCCGTGTGTATTAATCAGGTTTATCATTGCTTCAACAGATTATATTTCCTATTAGATTTTTATTTAAGAACAACATTAAAATGATAATAAAAATGATGCACGTGTGTATATAGAGAATGTGAATTTTTGATTGATTCATTCCTGAATAAAATTATTCGATTATGTTATAAAAATAGAATCGTTTTTGTTGTTGTCGATGAGCATCATTGACCATCTCATTTGATTTCTTAATGTTAAACGAAATAAAAATAAACAACGAAATCTCTATTGAATTCTTTTTTTCCCAAAAATATTTCTCGATCATTTGTTTTAATATTTTTTTGNAAATCAAATGAATGAATGAATGAATGAATAATTGGAAGAAGAAGAAAAAAAACAGTAGAATATGTGTGTGTGATCCTAGCATACGGAATAAATCAGTGCAAAAAAAAAATGAATATTGCCAGTCGGTCCCAATTGTACAATTTTTTTTCTCCTTTTTTGAACAAAAGTTTTTTACCGAATGATAATGAACGCCAAAAAAAACTTGCATACTTGATTGATTTACAAAATGAACAATGTTTGACGACATTTGTTCTACGAAATTATCAAATAATCAATGTCTTTTGGCATTTGTTATCAATAATAGTGGTTGAATAAGAATGATACGAAATTTTCAGAAACTTAACCAAAAAGATTCATTTGGATTGAAATAGTTTTTTTTTTGCTTATTCAGGCAAACTTTGACTTGTTCCATATTGATGTCGTGGAATTTATTCATTCAGTTTTTTTGTTGCATTCTGTTCATATCAGGAATATTGTTGACTGTTAAACAGAAACTAACTATGACTAATCTTTGAATCTTTCTTCAATGCATTTCGGTATTTATTTTCTTTTCTTCTTCATCATCATTCAAGCATTTTGTTGTTGTTGTTGTTGTTGTCCAACTTTTTCAATCAAATTCACATACAAAAACAGTTCTTTGAAACTAGATTTATTTTTCACAGAATCTTAATTCAACAACAACGACAACAATATTTAGATAGTTGACATTGCCAGAGGACAAACAAATCAAAAGACATGGATAGATAGAGAAGAAATGGTCAACCATGGACAACAAGATTGACATCAAGTCCAGTCAAGTGAGTGTTTTTCAATTCTACTGCAAAAATAAGATTTTAAATTCCAAATGAAAAAAGGGAGAAAAAAAATCCAATCTTTAGATGTAAATAATAAAACTAATCTCTCTCTCTCTCTCTCTCTCTCTCTCTCACTCAATTTTTGAATTCGTTTACATTTAAAGAATGAAATAGAATTGAAATGTCCAATTGTTGTTGCCAGAATCACAGCATAGAATCAATTGAAGAATAAAGAATTCATTTAAAGAAAGTAAAAAGGCAAATGATATGGAATAGACTAAATTCAAATGAATGAATGAATGTGAATGTGAATGTAAATTATCCATTCAGCGTAAAATTCAGTATGTTAAACTTTGTGTACAATATGATATGACATTGGAATTTAGCAATAATAATGGTCGTTTGGATTAAATAGCTATCAATATCATTGCAGATTGCATACAACACAAAACAAAACAAAAACACACTTAGTGTAACACATACAAACAGACACATAGAATTCTATGAATATTTGAAAACATACACACACACACACACACACACAGAATTCAATCGATAAATAATGTAAATAACTCTTACCTTCTTCATAACGTTTACGTTTTTTACGTGCACGTAAATAAAAAACAACAACCTAAATTTTAAGGAAGAAAAGAAAAGAAAGAAATCAATAACAAAAAATATATTCAAATAAATCAATTTTTTTGGAAAACAGAAAAAAAAATGAAATGAAATGCGAGCGAATTTTAATCCTTTTTTGTTTGTATGCGGAGAATATGGAAAATGATTATGAAGAAACATGGAATTCAGTGGAATTTCTTTTTTCAAATTCAATATTTTTTTGAAATTATTCATTGAAATTTTGCAAAGTGGCATATTTATTTATTTAACCACACACACGCACATATATCATAGACCAACAGATTTTATAAGAATTTTTGTTTTGTTTTTTTTGCATTTCCGAATTTTTCAATATGTTTTCCCGAGAGTTGTGTTGCTCTAATCGGTCATATAATCGGTTTTTTTTGGTTTTGTTTTTCGGTTATCGATGTAAGCTGGTTCTGGCATCATAATAATGCCAATAACAACAACCAAAACAACAAAAACAACCAAAAACAAATTGAAATGTTTTCGAAACAGAAAACGTACAGAATTTTTATGAAAAGTGGATTTGGTTTCATTTTTTTGTTGTTGTTTTCATTGTATTAGATTTTCTGGCCAACAAAACAAAACAAAACAAATGGAAAACAAAAATCTGGGAGAAATAGTTTTCTAAAAAAAAAAATCTCTTTAAACCAAAGAATAAAGAATTGTACGATTCACACAAGAATCAAGAAGATTCGCTTGTTATTCTCTTTTGATGACATATCTTTTTCGTTTCACTAAATTTTTCGGTCACATGATCATCACACTAATGAAACTCGTTCATTTCAATCCATTTATAACTGGAAACAAAAAACAAAAAACGATGATGATGATGATAAATAGGAAAAGACAGAAGAAAAAAAGTACAAAAATGAAAAATTTTCAAAGTGATTTTTTCACTTTCCACACACACAACATTTTCTCCATTTTTTGGTGTTAAGTGGCTTCAAACAAAGAAAAACATAAAAAAACACAAAAAACTATGACGAAATTGACCAGATTCTATTGAGTGTAGAGACTATAACCAAAAAAAAAAAGTGGTAAACAATTTCGATTGAATTGCATCTGATACAACAACAACAACAACAACAATATTGAGCACATCATCATCAAGGATAATAATGGAATAAATGATGACAATGAAAGCACTACTTTCAATAATATTTACCATCATCATCATATGGATCGACATTTCATTGTTGAAGCAAAGAAAAAAAAATCAAACTATGCCACTATATCATGTACCAAAAAATCAAATCGATGATGATGATGATGATGATGAAAAGCCAATATCGATCCATAAACATTGACTGACTTGCTTACACTTACACTTATATTCAATTGACAATCACATCATCATCAAATTGATATTGTGTTTGAATATACAACAAACAAACAAACAAACAATATTGGGCGTCATTGAATGTCTTTATATGTTTGTTTTTTTTTCTCTTTCTTTCAATGGAATATTCAATAGTTTTTTTTTCTTTTTTTTGGGTACAAACAACAATTCAATCAAACAGATTGAATACGGCATGTTTATATTTTTGTTGTTGTTGTTGTTGTTGTCGTTGAATTTTGACGGGTCGATGTTTGACTATCAATATATCGTTGTTGTTGTTGTTAGGGTTGTTGTTGAAAACGATCGCTATCAGCTAACAGAATAATAGCTTAACCATATTCCAAACAATGTTGGGATGTCTTATCCAGATTGAAGAAAGTAGAAAAACTTTTCTCTCTCTCTCTCTCTCTCTCTCTCTCTCTCTTCTCATTCACTTCAGACCAAGTACATCTTGAAACTGTAATAAAAAATCACAACAACAACAACAACAAGACCAAAAAAGAGTAAACTTTGAAAATGGCCCACTCAATAGAATCAACTACTTTTTTTCGGCTAAGTTAGCCGATGAAAGAATATAATAATAAACATTCAAAAAAAGGAGATAAATTATGTGTGTCATCATCATCATCATCATTCTAATATATTGGTAAGAATATTCTGCATTTATCCCATTCATATACACACACACAAACACTATCAACATAAAGAACTTTCTCTACTTTAGCATCATAAAACTAAAATCATTATCGTCACCATCATCATAATCATAATCATCATCATCATCGATGACAACGTGGCCAACTAGAAAGTACTGAGAGCGAAAAAAAATATGCAAACGATAAATCTTTAAAAAAAAAGAAATGGATAGGAATATTTCAAAGAAAAAAAAAGAGAAAAAAAATGAATTTCTGGAACAAAATACTTACAAAATTGAACAATAACAATGAAAAACATACAACACAAATGATAACGAATAATCTTGGTATATCGAAACCAGTTTCGGCCAAAACTTTTGATATAATCTTTTCGGTTTCGGTTATTCCACTTTCTGCAATATTCATTTATTTATTCAAGTCGATTGTTGTGGTCGATTTTGGGTCCATAAAGAAAAAAAGAGGAAAAAAAGAAGAAGAAAAAATATGACATATTGATATTATTATTATTTATACTACAGAAAAAAAAATCACAAGCCATAATGGCATTGGTGTTATGTTTGTGTTAAGAAAAATGACATCAAAAACGAGATGCTGCCTTGAGAATATATATTTTGTGAATTCGATACGATAACCAATATCAGTCATTTTTTTCAGTTTTTGATCCAACCGAAAACCGAAAACCCTCTCTGAATAATAACAGGAAATTTTTATTTATATTTACCCGAAAAAAAACCAGCCATATTTTACATTGAATTGTTGTCGATGATGATAAAGTATTGACAATTTTTTTTGCGAAACTTTGTGTATGTGTGTTTGTTTGTTTGGCAATCGTATATGAACAAATATGAGAAATAAATGTAAAAACATACCTTTAAGAGTTGATGCTTTAACAATATCAGCACTATAATCACTATCACCTTTTTCATTGATTGCCATTACATTGAATATATATTGTGTATTATCTCGTAAACCACCAACAATAATTGTTGTTGCATTGGTTGGATAAACATCCCTATACATATAGGCAATATTATTTGAATCGAAAATTTCTTCACCATCATTGATCATCGATAATGAATCTATTGGTCGATAACGAATACGAAATGTTTGCCGTAAACCACCATCAAATCCAGGTAACCAACGTAATGTAACCGAACCAGATGTTACATTCACAACACGTAATGAACGTGGTGAATCTGGTCTTGATGTACGATTCAATGCAATAGCCATTGCATCAAAACCAAGATCATTACGTGCAATACATTCATATGGACCATAATCATTACCGGTAACATCATTTATGATAAGAACACTTTCATAGGTAATTAGATCTAATTTTTTTGTCTTTTCAATTGAATATTTTGGTAAAGTTTTTTCAACACTTGATTTTGATGATGATGATAAACGATAATTTAATGATGATGATGATGATGAATCATCTGATTCCAATACTGAACCTTCACGTTTCCAGGTAAATGTTACATTAGGTGTACCTTGTGCACGACAAATAAGTTTAGCTGATGAGCCTGATTCGGAAGCTGATTTTGAAATCGATGGTGATCGATCGATTATTGGTTTATCTAATCATTTTTTAAGAATGAATAGAAAAAAAATTATGAAAAAAAAATGATTTGAAAAAGTTGAAAGCAAAAAGTTTGCAATGATTATGCAATCGAATGAAATTCAATGGAATTTGGAAATTGATAAATATTCCTTGGATGTGAACCAAAAGAAAAGAAAAAAACAAACTTTTAGAAATGAAATATAGAAAACTATCAAGGAACATTGGGATGACAAAACAAAACAAAAAATTAAGCCTCAAAAAAAGCAGCAAAAAAAATTCTGTGGATGATGAAGAATGAAAAATAATGAAATTCATCATCATCATTTTCCCTATGGGTCCTATATTCTTATGGTTCTTTTCTTTAAGATTTTTGTGTGTGTGTGTTTTACAAGGTAAAAAAAGACAAAAATGACAAAAGTTTAAATAATTTTTTCTTTTCTTTTTTTCGGTTGTTGGTTGCATATTTATTAAGCCAAAAATTATTATACACACTATGAATTTATCTGATCTACATTCAAATCAATGTGACTAACAGATTTTATTATTATTATTTCGTTTGTTTGTTCCTTATTCTCGTTGCTGCTGTTGTTTTTTTTTTGTGTCAAGAATAATCAAGTTTTCATTTTGACAGCTTGCTTCCTACAGAATTTCAAAGCTTATGGTTTTTTTTGAATTCAATCAACATATTTGTCATACAGGAAGAAAATTGATAAGAATAGAAAAAAAGAACAACCGCTGTTATTGTTTACAGCACACAGAAGAAGTAAAAAAAAATCTAATTTGCATATGCAACGGTGTTAATCATTTTTTTTTTTTTTTTTGGCCAGGTAAATTGTTTTGATGATAAAGAAAAATACTTACGTAATACCAATAATGTAATGGCAGATTTAACTTCTTTACCAATACCATTATTAGCTAAACATTCAAATATTGATCCTGAATCACGTAATGTAACATTTAATATTAATAATGAACTTTTTAATTTAGCACCATCAGCAAATGGTTGTGATTCTTCGGGTAATAATTCTACTTCTGAATGCATTCGATGTGATGATGTAGAAACAATATCATCCAGATCATCATATGATGATGATGATGATGATGATGATGATAAAGGCACATTATGATGATGATAATGAATCATTGAATTATAATCAGAATCATTTTTATGACGAATCCATCTAATAATATGTTCATTAATTGGATTAGCATCTAAATAACATTCAAGATGTGCATTATGATATTCATCAACCATTACAATTTCGGTTATTTTTTTAATTATGGCCGGATCTAAAATTTGAATGTAAAAAAAAAATTAAACGTTATTGGTGGTGCTTTAAATTTTGAAGATGGACAAAAAAAAGATAATTCATTTACATTGAACATTGATACGAATAGATGATTCACTTGTACCAAGATCATTTGTAGCATATATTTTATAAATACCACTATCAGATTTTTGAGCATTTGTTATATTAAGAATAGGACCATCGGATACAATACGATGACCAGTATTATCACTAATTTCACTATCATCTTCACGTTTCCATTTATAAGTGATGGCTAATGGATTGGAACGTGCTGTTTGATTGAATGTTTCCGATTGACCAATAATCACATCAAATTGTGTTAACGGAGGATTTAAAAATTCCGGTGGATCTATTTTGAGCAAAATCATTTAATTATTCTGATGTTTCGGATGGATCAAAGAAATCAAAAAAGAAAAAAGAACTTACATTGAATATTCAACGTAATGGCATCATGAACACTTTGTTGAAGTACTTGATTTTTGGCTGTTTTTTAATCAAATCAATGAGGTAAGTAAATGAATGAAAAATGTGATAACTTAATTAACACAACATACCTTGACATGTAATAACACTTTCATCATCTTGACTGCTAACATTCAGACGTAAAATATTACGAGTAATTTTACCACCAAATAAACCATCATGAATAGCATCTTGTTGTCCGGTTAACATAAAACCATCACGCCACCATGTAATCATTGATTGTGGATTTGAACTACCTGTTTCACATTGAATTTCTAATTGTTGACCGGCAATTGGTTGTTTAGGTGTTAACTTTATTGATACTTTATTTGGTGGAACTTATTGATGGAGAAAAAAAAATGAAAAAGAAAAGAAAAGAAAATAAAGATTTTTTAAGGTTAGAATTACAAATGACAAAAACAACATTAATTAAATTTCTTTTTTTTTTTTTGCTGGATGAAACAGGATGAAATTTAACGCCAGACTAATATAGGTGTGTACAGGTAAGACAATCAACCAAAAAAAGACAAAAGTTGACACATCCCTTTCGTTGATATGGTCATTATCAATTGTGATGACAATAATGATGATGGCTTTCTTACAAATTCAAGGTGTAACCCTAAATGAATGAATCATTCATTCCTTCTATGTTATTGAAGGTTGAATGATCGTGACCTTCAAAAACAAAACAAACCAAATTGAATCAAAAAAAAACTTACAATGAACAGTCAATGTTGTAACAGCTTTAATCGGTGTAATTGATGCAGAATTTTCACCCGTACATTTATACATTGCAGTATTGTCACTTGGATCGACACGGAACACTGCCAAAATAAAAAGTGAAAAAGTGAAAAGTGAAAATTTCAAATAAATAATGAAATCAATAATAAAAAAACAATACACTTACCAAGCTCATTAGTAACAGTGTTACCATTAACAGAAATCTGTGTACCTTCATTTAATTCTTTATCATTTTTAAACCATTTAGGTGTACAAAGTGGATTACCACCATTACATGTACAGGTTAAACGTTGTACTGTTTCATGTTGTAAGGCTTTTTGTTCATCATAACCAAAAATATGTATCGATTCGGGTGGATCTATAATTTTTTTTGATACAATGTTTTTTTCGTTTTTGTATTTTGTTTGTGTGTATGTTTTTCACACCATTTTTCATTGCAATGCCCAAAAAAAAGAAAAAAGTTTGTTGTTTGTCGTTGATAGTGATGATGGTATTCATAATAATAATAATGGAACGAAAAGATTTCCATTTCCATTACAAATTAGCAATTTACGTGCCAAATAACAATGAAACGATGCAACCCAAAATACAATAATAATGATAATCGAATTTTCGTAAAGAAAGAATGAAATAAAATGAATGAATGAATGAATAAAAGAATCTTTAAATAAAAAATACTTACATAATACATTCAATACGGAAGATTCGACGATCGTTTCGCTGATTTTATCTATACACATTATTATCATCATCATAGACAATAAATGATTGTTTGGTTAATGGTATTCCAACGGTAGCGGCAACCATAATATATAATGAAATCGTAAAATCAAATGGCAGGAATTTTTTTTTTGGTTAGTAACAAAAATAAATTTTGTATCAATACCAGAATAATAATAATAATAATAATGATAACAGGGAAAAAAGAAAGTAATAAGAAAATGGAAACAAAACAAAACAAAACAAAAAATGCTAAATCAAAATTCATCTTTCGAATAAGAAAAGAATCGAGACAGAGAGAGACCTTAGAGTGGAAAGAATGGAAATAGAAAGAAAATATAATGGCAACTCTCTAGCGTTAAGCTCCTTGGACCCTTTTTTTCTTGCAAAAAAAAAAATATTATCTTGAATTATTTTTGAAGTGAAAATGAGAATTTCAATGCAATTCGAACAACAACAACAAAACAAAATAAATGGATGGTTGATACGATGCAACACGATGGAATGTTATTTCATCGAAGAAAGAAAGAAATAAAGAAAAATGTCTGTTTTCTTTTTACGGAAATACCGTTGCATTGAATACCTTTATTTTCTTACAAAAAAATAAACTGCATACACAGAGAGAGAGAGAATACAGAATAATTTTCACAGCAGCATATTATATATCTATGACATTCCTATCTTGATATTGGCTATTGCTTCATTGGTCTAATGTAAATTCTGTTGTTTGCTTGTTATTCTATTTTCTATATTGGTCGACTAACAATCATCATTGGGGGAAAACAAAATAAAAGATGGAAATACGAAAAGACGAAAAGAAAAAGGAAAAAATAAAAAAAAAGATTATAAATAAGCTTACCATTAACTGCATAACAGGACAACATTTTCATATTACGATCCTATAGGAAAGAAGAAAAACGAAATTATTGAATTAATGAATGAATGAATGAAGAAAAAAAAATTCTTATATGGTTATGACGACAATCAATGAATCAATGGAAAGCGAATATGTTTTTTTTATTTGTTGCCCAAAATGATGAGCATCAGATTTTTTTTGCTTTCTTGTGAATAAAAAACAAAAAGAAAAGATTGTTCTTTTTTTTGACAAACAAAGTATTGTTTATTCCTGGAATTTGGTCTGGCCAATCGGCAAAATTCTACTGATAATGATGATGATAAGTATCGATATTAAGTGATTGAAGCAAATTGAACCAATCAACAAACAAACAAAAAAATCATTTGTTTATCGAATATTGGAAACAATCAATATATGGTTGTCATTCAAAAAAACACAAAGCACAGAACAATAAGTAATTGTACAATTCTATAACCAAAGCAACGGGAAAAAATTGAATAACGGAAGAATGTAATGATGAAACAAAAAAAAACATTATAAATAAAGAAACTTTGTCTTTATTACTTCAAGGAAATGGAAAAAGAAAAAATGAAAATCATTCACACTTAATGATGATATACAACATAAAAAAACCCAAACATCTCGATAGGAATTCTAGAATTTTCTTTTATGCATTTTAAAATAATTTGCATATTGAAATCAATAACCAAACCAGACTGAAATGTTTCTGGAAATATTAGAAAAAAAAATGTCCCCATTGTAAATTTTTTGTGGTTTGAATTTTAAATTTTTCAACATCATCGATAGGAAATTTGTGTTTTTTTTTCTCTTAAAATTATTACAAGATTCATTGGAAACTCAACCAACTTTCCAACAGAGCCATTAAACACACTAAAAAATCGTATCAAATGACTTATATAACAGGATTACAAGAATGACATGTCATCATTTGTCGATGTTGTTTTCATTATAACACACAAACACGCAAACACTGGAACATACAATGACAATCAATCACAAGATAATCATGTGACATATATGACATGTGGACATGATAATATTACATGTGTCAAACAAAACAAAATAACAACAACCAAACAAGTTAGTTATTCAATCATTCAGTCATTTCATTTTATAAATGGTGTCAATTAAGCTTATTTCTATGTTTAGAACACCACTAACCCACCACCACCAACACATGGATTTGATAAATCTTTTTTTTTCACTATATATGTATTCATTATATATGTTTGACAGATGATCAACAAGATGATGATGATGATGATTATATTATTTTAAATCAAATATAGAGAATATTCTGACTTTTTTTTGTTGTTGTTTGGAGAAATTAGTTAGTCAGTTGAATGACAATTGGCCACATTCTATTCATATATATTCAATGATAAAAGTGAAAGAAAGAAATGAAAGAAAATAAAAAAAGACCGCCTGTCACTATAATGCATAATAATGAGATGATAGTGTAAAAAAACAACAAGAAGAAGAAGAATCAGGGATAATTTGTTATAAATTGCATGACAGAAAACAACAACAACAACAACAACAACAACAACAACATGGTCCAACACTCATATTTTGCTTTTGCATTCTGTATATATTCTGTATATATTTGATTTGAGTGATGAAAAAAAAAATGAAATGTATACTATTATGGTGCATTCTATGGCGCCTAATTGATCATCTTGGTTGTGTGTGTGTGTTTGGTGGTGATCCTGATTTCTTTCTTTTTTTCTTTTCATTTCGCTATTCATCATCCATGGTTCATAGAAATGAAGAAAAAAAGACAGAAAGAAAAGAACAGAACCAGGCACAACTTTTTTTTTTATCATTTCTGCGTTTCTATTTTGCATTTGAAAAAAAAGAAAAATTTTCCAACCGTCATAAGGGACATCATCATCATCATCATTTTATTCAAGCCTGTTTCTTCTTTCATTTGGGGTGGCAATTAATTTTCAACATTTTTCCTTTTTTTTTATTCATTCATTTCAGATTCAATGATGCCACTATGGAAAAAACAAACAAACAAAAAAGAATATTCCCTAAAGTGCCCAGTTTGCCGTTCGCTTGTTGTTGTTGTTGGTCCAGACAAAAGTCCAAATGTCAGAATGAAACGAACAAGCAACAAAATAGGGGTAAAAAACAAATAAGCATCATGTAAACGTAGTAGTAGTTTGAACAGTCGAAATAAAATACAGAATATTCTAATCTAGTGAAATAAGGGGATCAAAAACTTTCTAGCCAATGCAAAAAAAAATGAATTGAATTAAATTGAATTATAATGAATGTTGCAAGAAGAAAAAAAACAAGTAATTTTTGTTGAAATGGAAAGGGGGGAAGGCAAAAAATAAATCCCATACGAAATGAATTCAAATTAAGCAAAACAAAATCTGAATTTGTATATTTTTTCCGGATGATTATTGCACAACAACAGCAGCAGCAACATATAGCAATGAAAACAATTTGATCAAGGGAACTAAAGAAAAATGAAAGCAATGAAAATTCCATTGAAAGCCGGGTAAAATCGTACACACACAGAGAAAAGAGTTTGAAATGAATTTGAAATTCGGAAACCGAATTACTTATCAAAAATAAAAATAAGCTCCAAAACAACAACAACAAAGATTCTATAGAATTTTGTAATTTTGGAATGCAAAACAAAATGATTGGTTATTTTTGGCAATTTTGTTTTGTTCAAAATTGAAATTCTTGAAAATTGAAATTTGTAATTCTGTACAAAAGAAAATTTGACAAATAAGGACGGCAAAATGGACGAATTTCCAACAATAAACCCAATATGAATGAATTCAATTTTATTAATGATTTTTCTGTGTATGTAACAATGGTCATCATCATGAAGAAAGAAAGAAAGAATATTCATCCATAAGCAACCATTAAATTAAATTGACGAATTTTTTTCAAAATTCTTTCGAAAAAAAAAATTCAATGTGAAAAGAGACTTTCAATGTTAAATAAGGAAGTGAAGTGAAGAAATGAAGAAAAAAATCAATAATTTTCAATCAAAAAGATTGACACAAGCAAGATCCAAAAGCAACAAGAATGATGATGGACTAATCAAATGAATAAATTTACCAAAAAGGATTGGCTTCCTATAGTCTTTCTCTCTTAGGCCAATCGGATAACACAGGCAGTCAGTCAGTCAGTCAATTTTATAACTTTAAATGTCAACCTACTTATGTTTTTTCCAACAAAAAATACATCATTTGTTTTTCAATTAAAGCTTAAACAAAATGAATGAATGAATGAATGTAGAGCAACATGATTGAGAAACTGAAAAAAAGAAAAAGAAAAAGCTATATAGGCGTCATCGATTTTTCGCAATTCCCTTACTATGGATTTTCTTCTTGTTTCGATCTTTCTTTTTTTGTTTCTTAATTCTTAATCGTTGCCATTTTGTCATCATTATTATTAGTTTGTAGAAAGAAAATACATAGAAAGAATGTATGTATGTTTGTCATTTGTTGGCAATGGCAAAATGGCAAACATCATCATTATCATCCATAAGGTTTTCTTTTTTTAATTAGTGTAACGATGAAAAAAAAAGACATGATGATTAGCAAAGTTTGTAAGGGAAAAAAATTAATCTCACTGACAGATTTTCTTTTGCTTCCGAATTTAGTTTGACATGAACAAAATGATCATCATTATTTTGTGTTAATGCATTACAATTACAATGTTTTTTTCCTACTGATGATGATTATATAATAAGGATTTGTAACTGAAAATTTGTAATGAAAAATTTTTTCTATTGAATTGATAAAAAAAAATAAATATACACTGTACCTGATTAGTGATAGATATAGTTATATTGGCTGTAGTTATAAATCCACCATTTTTAGCCGATTCAATAGTACTATTATGTATAATTGGACGACCATCAACTACCCAACTAATTTGTGCAGCAGGATTTGATGGTTCAGTTCGACAACTAACCGGTACAATATCACCAGCTTTTACATCTTTAATCGATGTGATCGATAATTTGGATGGACCAAAATAAACTTGTAATTTAATTTCTTTACTAATCGAACGTTCCATAATTGGTGATGATGATACACAACGATAAATAGCATTATTATCACTTGCATCGACAGTAAATTCCATTACATTTAATGAATATTTTTCGGCTACAGTTGTATAGGAAAAATCCACCTGTTCATCATTACGAAACCAAACTAATTGTGCTAATGGATTACCACCACGTGCACGACAATCCATTTTAAGTGTATCACCAACTTTAAGATTTTGGCCATCAGTATATCCAGTAATTTCTGGTTCACCCGGTGGATATAGAACAGATAATGATATTGTACGACGCATTGGACGGTTATTTGTTAAGGCAGGATGGACGGCTTCACATGTATATGGTATACCATTATCTTCAGCATTACCTGATACGGTAATTTTTGATTTACTTGTATAAACAACCGATTCAATTTCTTGTATACTATTTGAATCGACTAATGTAGTTGTAACAGTTGTTGTTTCAGGATTAGTGCCCATTTCTATAAATTGATTATTAAATATTGAAAATCATCATTATGATAATATAATCATATAAACACAAAAACTTACCTGGACGAAGCTCGACATTTTTTCGAAACCATTTAATTTGAGCTGGTGGTTTACCACCGGTTACTAAACATTCAATTGTAACACTATTACCTTCACGTAGTTCAACATTTGATGAATTTTTTGTTAAACTTTTACCACTTAATGGTGTAACAATTTCAATTGAATTTGGTGGTACTGTTTTTTTTAAAAAAAAAGGGGGAAAAATAGAAAAGAATTAGAAATTTTCGTAATTTGGAAAAATGATCGATCCAAAAAAACTGGTCAGACCAGAAGAAGAAACAGATAATTTCTCCCCTCTCCCAATTCCAATAACTTCTTATTATTTTGCAATTTAGTTTTCATATGGGTTACACATAATGTGTAGTTTTGATTTGGTTGATTGATTTTTTTCCATTATAAAGATTTATGAATATTATTAATATTGACATACTAATTATTACTATTCAAGAACATTACATTAATTTCACTTTATAAGAATATCAAAAATCATTCAAACAAATAAATTATGGAATCCATTCTGGTTTCTGGTTTCTCAATGGGCCTTATTTTTCAAACTGAAAATAATGACAAACTGACTGATCAGTTGAAATTAATTCTTGGAAAAGAAAAAAAAAACCTAGACACTAATAGTGACACTATGTGACATTCGTTGACTTTATTCGTGTGTGTTTGTGTGTCTGGTGATATCAAAAATAATTAGATTTCATTAGGGGTTTTTTTCATTTATTTATTTAAAATTTCAAAAATGAAAACTATTTTAACTGTGTAAAATCACAATGACAACGACGACGACAACCCGAAATAAAAACAAACAAACAAACAACCACCAAAAAACAAAATAACCGTAAAAAAAATTTGAAAACAAAAAATAATTAAATTAAATGAAAAATAGACAAGCAATATGCACACTACTGATATTGGATAACATTCGTTTTGTTTTTCTGGCAAGACAGCATAAAATGTTTGCGAGAGTCTGGTCATGACAATGGATCGACGGTAATTTTTTTTTAAATTTTTTTGAAATGAAAATATTCTACTTACTCAGTACGGTTACTTTTGATGTAGCTCGTATTGGTGCATAATTTTTACCGCCTGGACCAACCTGACATTGAAATTCACCATTATCTTCATTACGAGCATCAACAATACGAAGATTATGTACACCAATACTTGCATCACCAATCATTGAATAACGTGGAAAACCAGGTATATTACGATCATAACCAAGTACAAAACCATCTTTTGCCCATTGAACTGGACCACGTTGATTACCAACAACACATTGTAATACAACCGTACTACCTTCGATCACATTTATTTCAGTTTGTGGTGTTATTTTAAAATATTGATGATGTGCTATTTGGGCATCGACTATAAGTAGAAGAAAAGAAAAATGATAAAAAATTAGTATTAAAAAAACAAAAGTTTGCAAGAAGTAATTTTATTCAAAATTATAATTAGAATCAACGGAGGAAAGGAAAAAACAAAAATGAAAAAAAAAACTAGAAAAATTTCCCGGAAAAAAATCAAGAAGCCAAACGAAGACAAAAGAAAACGATGATAATTATCGTAGGAATCCAAAAAACAAGAGAAAATCGATGAGATTAAAAGTTTTTTTTGGCCCAAAAAACCAGAAAAAACCAAAGAAAAACCAAAAAAAACCAAAGAAAAACCAAATGATAATTGACAATATAAATTAACGATAATAATAAAACAAAAAAGGTGAACGTGATTAAGTCATTAATTTATCGTTTTGGTTCAGGATATTATTCCCATTTGCAATCAGATTGATGATAATAATAACGATAATATCGTTTTTTTGGGCTGGGATTTACTTTTTTTTCCTACATCATCATAGTGATCAATAAGGACCAAATTGTTTGGATCGTTTTTTTTGGATCACTGTGTGTGTGTGTGTGTCGATAATGTTTGTACAGAAGAAAATCAGACAATTTATTGATCTGCTGGTATTATTTGGTGGGGGGAGGGGGGAGTTATTGTTCAGTAGCGCTGATGATGATACGGAAATGATAAAAAAAAAAGAATTATGAAAACCGGCCAAACAAAGAATCACCATGAAACAGAAAAAAAAAATTAAAAAGAATTGCTTGTTGTTTGCTATAAAATGTGTGCGCGCAATCATTGATCTGTTGTTGATGATGATGATGATGATGGTTGTGGTAATAATGATGATGACGATGACGATAATGGTGATGGTTATGGCAAAGTTGACCTTACAATTCTAGTATCAAGAATCGTGAATGAAAAGTGAATGCAGAAAAAAAAAGTTTTCTTAAGCAATTACGAATTGCCCTTTTTTTCTTAACACTGCTCTCTCTCTATCTCTATCACACAAACACACATTGATCCAAAACGATTATTATTATTATTATTATGGGCAATATAAATTTGAAATTTTCAGAAAGAAAGAAAGAAATCAATGATGATGATGATGATGGTCATAAAAAAAAACTGTATGTATTCCAACTGGATCCACACACATAACCAAAATAAGTGAAATGAGTTATGTTGTGAGTAAGAGAGAGGGATAAGCAAATTATTAATATTTTTCTTTTCAACCAAACAACCAACCAATTCTTATTGTTAAAATGAAAGCCATTTTAGCTATTTTTTTTGCACTTTCAAATATTCTTACTTACAGTAATCATCATCGTTTTCTAGGTCAATCATTCCCATATACACAGTCAGTCATCATTGCCAATCATTTTTTTTTTGAATGAACGGAATTGGAATGTCTTTATTATTTTAATATATATAAAAAAAATTCTTGTTGTGAACGGAAAGGAAAAGAAAAACTTTTTCTTTTTTCCATAACAATCATCATCATCATCATCTTGTTTGTTGATGCGTTTTTTTTCATATTTCTTTCATTTGGTTAAAAAAAACAAACTCACACGCAATGATGCTATTTACCGATGTTTTGAAAATGATTCCAGAATAATGTATACGAAAAAAATGAAGGAATTCGTCATACAGGCAAATGCATCAATAACGATAAACAACATAAGCATAGCCATTCTAAAATTCGTTTCGATTCACATTTTTTGGCGAAAAAAAAAATTTTCAACAAAGTCAGAGTGAAATAAATGGGGCAGCGTTTTGTTTTGTTTTGAAGAAAAATAATAAGAATTTTTGACAATAATTTCTCCGAAAAAGAAAATGAATAGACTGGAACATTATTCTGTGAAACAGAATATGGATCAGTAAACCCAGAGGCTAATAGGAAAACAACAACCACACACACGGACACACTTGGTTTAAATCTTCAGAATTTTTCAAAAGTAACAATTGACAAATTGAGAAATGAAAAATATTTTTATTGTCAAAAAAATTCAAAGTTAATACAGGGTGATAATTCTTTCTTTCTCGTTCCATATGATTTTTTTCTTCATTTTTGATTTAGAATTTGCGATAAGCCCATTCTGTCAAAGAAAAAATGAAACCTTTTTTTCCATTTGTTCTGCGGTGTGAATTCATGTGTTTAAAAAGTCAATTTGAATGCAAATTTTTTTGTTCTCACTTCTCAATCCTTGTCCACATGAAATATCGATATGTGAATTTCTCTATCTTTTTTAGAAATGATTGGATATTTGATTCTGGAAAAACCCAATTCATAATTCGAATCATAAATCGTTAACAGTCAACAAAAAAACAGAAATCCTGGTATCCAGAATACAAATGAAAGGATTGCAGTGAAAAAAAATATGAATTGAATGAATCACATGAAGTCATTAGCATTCGATATGAAACGTGGCACGTGCATCCAAAAAACGAAAAACGAAAAAACAAAATCCAAATTTCCGTCTGCTTTTCATCATCATCATCATCAGTGGATGGGCAACATTGCGACCAGATTGAAACTAACTAACTAATGATAATGATACTAATGATAATAATGACGGCAATGGTGCATAGCAAAGATTTTTTCGGTTGCATAGCATCCTTTGAAATCGATTCTAAACTTTGAAAGGGGTCTTATTTATTCTTTGCAAAAGATATTTTATACTACGTTTAATTCAAGTGATGTTTCCATTGCATTATCATCATCATAATTTTTTTTTCTGATGATGATGATTTAATTTCACCGAAAAAAAAGGAATGAAAAGGGTTAAAATTCAATCATTTCAAAGTCAAATTATCATTTTTTTTGGTGGAAAAAATGATTTTCGGGTAGGAGGATTTTGTATAATCGGATTTCCATAGCATATGACATTTGATTGTTATGAAATTTAATTATGGCTTTTCAATGATGATTTTCTTCATTTTTTTCTTTTCTCTAAATTCCTCTACCAAAACATTGAAAAAATCTTTTCATTTTCATTTTTCAAGCACCAAGCGTGTCAGATATCATGACATACCGTACGAACACACAAAACATCCCCAAAAATTGCATTAGGGTTAAAGAACGTGATGGGAACACCAAGAATTGTAAAAGTTTAGTCAATTTGTGATTTTTTTGGGGTGTTGTTACGATGTTCGAACACAGAGAAGAAAAAATTGGAATAATTTTCTTACCAAAATGTCAGTTTAATGTTTGAATAACAACGAAGTTTCATTTAATAATTTGATTATCCCGAAAGAAAAAGACCTTTCATTGACTCTTGAAGAAAAAAAAGGCCAAAACAACAACAAAAGATATGATCAGAGACCTAGATTAAATTCAACTTTAGCTATTTTCAACCACATAACTTAGATGATATATTAGAAAGAAAAAAGATGATAAATAGAGTGAAAAAATACCGTTTTTTTTATTATAAATGCTGGAATAATTTCATTATCATACTTCTTATATGAAGAGAATGAATGAATGAATGAATGAAGAGCTAATTTGATTCTGGAAAGACTACGACGTTAATTAATGAAATCAGAACACATTAAAATTCGTGCTTAATGCTTAAAATAGAGAGCATCTCATTACAGGGTAACGTAACAACCAAAAAACAAAAGGAATCATTTTTCTACGTTTCATAGAATCGGGATCACATTGTAATGATAATAGTATACTGGGCCAAACACACACACACATATATAGACCGATTGAATTGGGTAATCATTTTCAGCATCATTCGTTTCATGAAAACATTCAGGAATCACATTCATTTAACCAACCGAAAAAAAGAAAGAATAACATTAAAGACCCACAACACACAAGTGATTCTCTCTCTGTGTGTGTGTGTGTGCGATAAAATCGAAAAGATTTTTTCTGTTTTGTGTGTTCATGGATATTCGCATTTGAAATGAGCAATCTGTCTGTACATCATCATCATCATCATCAAAAGGGATGCTAAATTCATTCATTCTTTCACTGAATGAAAACAAAAAACAAAAGAATCTAGATTTTTCATTCCAAAAGACACGTGCATCACAAAGAGAGAGAGAGAGAGGGAAGGAGAAAGAATTTTCTTTTGGGAATTCGGATGATGATGATCATCTGAATGTAGAATGTGAAAACATTGAACATTTGCTTGAATCGGAATGAATGAATGAATGAATGAATGAAGAGAATTTGCAAGTTTTTTTGGGTTTTTTCTTACTTTTTGTTTCAAATTTCATTCAAATCTTTGAATCGAATCAATGACCAACAATTTTTTACTAAATTTTTTACTAAAATGCTTGATTCTAACTAACATTGAGATCGAGTGGACATGATCAATACAATGGGCAACGGAATAGGGTATTTTGATTGATTTTGGTGTTGAAAAAAAGAGAGTGAAAACATTTGAAAAATAAAGTGAAATTGATTCAGGGTAATTGATAATCGATGATCGAAAATCAGAATGCTATTAAAATGAAATTAAATCCAAAACACACACACACTGTATATGTGACATACATTTTCTTGTGATTGAAACATTCCAAAAACAAAAGAAAAGAAAAGAAAGAAAAGAAATGACAGCAAAGAAAACATTTTTTGGGAGAAGAAAGTTTCCAAAATGAACTTGAAAGAATCATCCAGATCCAATTTCAATTGAATTGTTTGATAATGGTGATGAANTAGTGAGAGAGAGAGAGAGAGAGAGAGAGAGAGAGAGAGAGAGAGGGAGGAGAAAGAATTTTCTTTTGGGAATTCGGATGATCATGATCATCTGAATGTGAAAACATTGAACATTTGTTTGAATCAGAATGAATGAATGAATGAAAAGAATTTGCAAGTATTTTGGGTTTTTCTTACTTTTTGTTTCAAATTTCATTCAAATCTTTGAATCGAATCAATAACCAACAATTTTTACTAAAGAGAAAATCAAAATGCCTGATTCTAACATTGAGATCGAGTGGACATGATCAATACAATGGGCAACGAAATCCAGTATTTTGATTGATTTTGGTGTTGAAAAGAGAGTGAAAACATT